CAAAGCCCAAACCACACCCACTGCCGTGGAGTCCATTCTGACCCACAGCGCCCCTAGAGGACAGAGTGGAACTGCCCACAGGGTCTCCTAGGCTGTCAATCTTCACAGAAGCAAAGCCCAAACCATACCCACTGCCATGGAGTCGATTGTGACTCACAGCGCCCCTAGAGGACAGAGTGGAACTGCACCACAGGGTCTCCAAGGCTGTCAGTCTTCACAGAAGCAAAGAAAAGCAAAGCCCTTCTGGTCGCTTCTAACCACACCCACTGCCGTGGAGTCCATTCTGACTCACAGCACCCCTAGAGGACAGAGTGGAACTGCCCCACAGGGTTTCCCAGGCTGTCGGTTCATTGGAGCAGATTGCCAGGTCTTTGTCCCCCTGGAGCCGCTCAGTGAGTTTGAACTGCTGACCTTTTGGTTCACAGCCAAGCATTTAACCATTGCACCACCAGGGCACCTTTTATGTTCCTTGTAATGCATGTGAATTAAAATGCCTGTTGTCAAGAGCCGCAGAACAGACTAGAGCTGTGAAGGGTGAGAGTGCAGAGAGCCGGGCCGTGTCCATCACTGGGAGAGAAGGTCCCTGCCCAGGAGCAGACTTGACTCGTGTGAACATTTTCCTCCTCCCGGGGGAGCTTCCATGGCAACCTTTGTGGGGAGCCGATTGGAAACCACTGCTGTTTTAAAACCCAAAGGCTGGCTTGGAAATGGGAGCAGAAGGCATTCGCAGAGTCCAGGACATAGTCTGCCGTGTCAAGCTCCTCGTGGCTGTGGGTTCCTAAAGGAATGCTCAGCTGCTAATCAGAAGGCTGACAGATTAAACCACTGTTGACCCACTGTTTCCTGTAGAACCAGGCTGTTAAAAATGTCTTAAAGTGATGAAGACGACGGGATGACAGAGTGTAGAAATTCTTTTTTGTTTTTCGCTGAATTATTGCATTCGCTGTTGGCCCCGGCTCCAACGTGGCCTTCACGTGTCACTGTGCACTTTCTCCATTGCTCTGAAGCGACACCCTTCTGGTCGCCTCTAACACTCAGCATTCTCTCATTACTACTAAGCACTGCTTTCTCTTCTGACAGAATAACATATTTTTATGGAAAGGAGATAGGAAGTCATTACTAACTCTGAGTCTTAAGGGTCACGGACCTCAGTTTAGGAGCTCTGGTGGCGCAGTGGTAGCACTTGGCTTCTGACTTCAAGCTCAGCTGTTCAAACCCACCACCTGCTCTGCAGGAGAAAGAGCTGCTTCCGTGAAGATGAAAGCCTAGAAAACCCTGTAGGGCGATGGTTCTCTGTCACTCGGGGTCGCTGTGAGTTAGCATCAACTCAGCAGCTCCGGACAACAGCACCAGTCATCAAAAAGGGGCTTGTTTCACATGTTTGAGTAGCCTAATGTCCAGGGATCCTTCCCTGACACACAGCCAGGGCCAATGTGTGGCTGGTCGGCTCCTCAGCCTGTGCACACACACGTGCAGACACAGGCCACACACACAGCTGCACACACATGTGCAAACACACCACACAAAAACATACCAGACACATGCAAACACATACCACATGCACACACAAACACCCCCCCGCACCTGCACACATCATGCACACAAGCAGATACACACAAACACATCACATGCACACACATGCAAACACCCCATGCACACACATGCAAACAACGCCTTACATATGTCCCACGTACCACACACACACATGCAAACACACGCATGCACACACCAGTTCTGCAGAAAGCACCTGCAACAGGAAATGTCAGCGCACGGCCTTCCTGCTACCACATACAAGCAGGCTCACACAGCAGCTGCGTCCATGAGGGGAGACCGTCCACCTTGTTTAGTCACAGCCAAGGCCTAAATCACAGTCCCTGGGACTGCCAGCAGATAACCTGTCCAGCTCCTGACTGAGAGGCTGGCTGGTTCCAACCCCCACCCAGGGGCACCTCAGAAAACAGGCCTTCCGTCAGCTTACGAAAGGCCACAGCCTTGAACGGTCTGTGGGGCTTTTCTCGGCATACCTGGGTCACCATGAGTCAGAGTTGACTTGATGGCAATGGGTTTGTTTATATGTTTGTGCGTACGTGACCGTGTCTTCTGTGTGGTGGTAATGATGAACGACCTTGCTACTGACCACAAGGTGAGTTGTTGAAGTCCACCCAGAGGTGCCTCTGAAGGAAGGCCTAGTGATCTGCTTCCCAAACAATCAGCCGCTGCAAACCCCATGGGGCACAGGTCTCCTCTGACTCATGAGGGGGCACCATGAGGCAAAGATGACTCAGGGCACCTGGTTTCTTGGAGCCTAAAGCAAACAAATACCTTCTCCAGCAAAGTGTCCTTGGCCACCCACGTCTGCATGCTCACCTCCTGGCCTGTTCCACCCACCCCGTCCCCCTCCCACCAGGTGGCTTTGACCTTGACCACCTCCTGGCCCATCCCACCCTGCCCTTCTCCTCCCACCAGGTGGCTTTGACTTCCTTCGAGAGGACCAGCCGTCACCAGTGCCTGACTCGGGGCTGAGCTCCAGCTCCACTTCGTCCAGCATCAGTCTGGGGGGCAGTAGCGGGAACCTCCCACAGATGACCCAAGAGGTGGAAGACGCGGACACAGCCGCCGAGACAGACGAGAAGGCCAACAAGCTCATTGAGTTTCTGACAACCAGGTAACGTGGGGCCAGGACTCAGCAGTGGCGCCACTAGGGGGTGTGGGGGTGCAGACGACACGAAGTAACTGTCAGGGTGACACCACAGTGACTGTTATGAAATTTCTATGCAGCGTTTCAGCAGAAATGTATTATTTTGTATAAAAATATTCTTGCAGTTGCTTATGACAACAGAAATGTTTTTCCTTAGCCCAGCTTACATGCTTCCATATACCCATGGGGCTCAGACTCTGCTGATTTACTTTTTGAGCCGGCTGACACTCTCTGGTCAGGGCCGTCATTATCACCCAATCACAGGGCTGCTTCCAATTGCGTGGTTTTGTCTGCACGGCCTACAAGCATCTGCTGTTTTCACTGCTGCCCATGATTTTATAGTTGCTGATGTTGTCAAACTTTCTGGTGTTTTAGCTACGATGGTGTTATAATTAGTGTTTGTGAACCTATTTGAATAATTTATATGAGAATGAAATAATAATGGAAGAAAAACAAGGAGAGAATTCAAAAAAGACCTCTACTCAGTGATTCTCAGTAGGGCGCTGTAAGTGAGAATCCACTCCACGTCAGTGGGTTTTGGGAGTCTGTAAAAGGCATAAGCTGGCAGACGTTGCCTAGATCCAGTCACAGTTGACGAGCAGGGATGTTCTGAGCATACCTGTGATGCTGCAGATGGCGAGAGAGATGGTTAAGCCCTGTGGTGAGCAGGACTTAATTATGCAGTAGAGCCCCACAGGGTGTCCAAGGCTGTCAGTCTTCACAGAAGCAAAGCCCAAACCACACCCACTGCCGTGGAGTCCATTCTGACCCACAGCGCCCCTAGAGGACAGAGTGGAACTGCCCACAGGGTCTCCAAGGCTGTCAATATTTACAGAAACTGACTGCCTGTGGAGCATCTTTTTCCTGTGGAGCAGCTGGTGGGTTTGAACCACTGACTTTTCAGTTAGCAGTTGAATGCTTAACCAGCATGCCATCAGGGCCTAGAAAACCCTGTGGAGCAGTTGTACTTTGTCACCCAGGATTGTCATGAGTCAAAAATTGACTCAACAGCACCTAACAGTGATACATGACATTGATTACATTTTTATGTATTTTACTCACCATTGATATCACCTTATTTAACAAATACTTATGTAGCACCCACTGTGCACCAAACACTCTGCTGGTGAACTGAGAAAGTTTTAATTTTATAAAGAAATTTCATTTAAAACGTAAGAGAAAATGTGTCTCCAGAATTAGCTCCATCTGTTTTGAGTCTATTGTCATCTTTATAAGAGTGAAAGTAACCCCAAAATTAATTAGTAAAAAATAAAAATAAAAAAAAACTATTTTTCCTTCTGGAGTTAAAACTACTCATGTGGTGTTAAAACTGCCAAACAATGGTTTTGTTTCTGACATTCGATGTGTTTTGTTTTAGGGCGTTTGGTCCACTTTGGTGCCATGAAGACATCACCCCCAAAAATCAAAATTCAAAGAGTGCTGAACAGCTCAGTAATTTTCTCCGCCATGTGGTATCCGTATTTAAAGATTCCAGATCAGGTACTTCCTCCTGTTCCTCCAACCCTGTTTTCCACATTTTTGCAGGATGGAGCGCTCTCTGCATACATGACTGTTATTGAGTGTCAGCAAGTCGATTCACCGCACAGTGACCCCATGTGACAGTAGGACTGCTCCATAGGGTTTCCAAGGTTGTCAGTCTTTACAGAAGCAAAGCCCAAACCACATCAACTGCATGTAGTCAATTCTGACTCACAGCGCCCCTAGAGGACAGAGTGGAACTGCCCA